ACTCATACCAGCACAACACACACTAACACACCACCACCACGTCAGTGTTACTGCAGTGCTAATGATCCACCACCCAAATAATACCTGCTCTGTGAGGGTCCATGGGGGTCTTGACCACTGAAGAACAGAGCAAAGGGGGCTAACAAAGTATGCAGAGAAACAGATGGACTACAGTCTGTAACTGTAGAACTACAAAGTGCACCTATATAGTAAGTGGAGCTGATAAAATGGACAATAAGTGTAGAAACAAGGAGGTGGTCATAATGTTATGCTTGATTGGTGAACTTTAATTTGTTAATGAACATTATTATTTAATCTTTCTGTTATAAATATATCACTATATTCAACATAAGCTACTGCAGGGGTCTCAAACTAAGGGCACGAGACAGCTTCACTGTTCATAAACAGTTGATGACGCAGAGTACACCTGGTCTTGGTCTAAATAATCACTGCTGACTGTTCACTTTAGCCCATGATCTTGTGTCCAATCTGCCTTTAGTGTTTAGACTATGAAGGTAAGGAAGTGCCTACGCACGAACGCATTCCTCAAGGGCCGACATACATCATTACACAGGAATGTGCCCTGAAGGCATCTTCCAGGATGCCTTGTAGGCTGTGAGACATCTGATAAAACTGGCCCTAAAGCTCATACCGGACCACGCAGTTAACAGTGCTATACTGCGATACTGTATTTACACGTTGGCAGTATTTTTAGGGATGAACTGGATATATGAAAATTAATATCAGGTGGTCATGACATCACAGCACACCGGTACAGGTGACAGATCTTTCAGGTAAGGTGGGCTATTTGGCAAAAATGCCGTAATAACATACTGGAAAAAAAATAATGCATAAAATATAAAATGTGCCATTACTTTTGCACCAGGTTTCCAATACGTTAAACTCAGCAAGTAAACAGTTATTGTGCATTACATAATTACATAATTTACATAATTAATAAATAAATAAGTAAATAAATAAATAATCAATAAAACATCTCATTTGACTTGAGCACCCAAACTTCTGCATACGACTGTACTACATTACTTCTATTAATTTTGACGATGAAAGATACACACTTAAAAAAAAAAATGGTTCCATACAGAACCATGAACAATCAAAGAACCCTTTGCATGAACCCTGCTCTTCAAGGGTTCTTTAGCTAAGAAAATGGTTCTATGTAGAAACACTCTTTGCATGCTTAAAGGGTTCTCTGCATAGTGAAAGCGTCCTTTAGATTAATAGACAACGTACTTTAGATGGTTCTATACAGAACCTCTTTGAAAAGGGTTCTTCTATTGTGGCAAGCTTGACATCGTAACAATAGAAGAACCCTTTTTGGCGCTCTATAGAACCCTTTTCAAAAAGGCTCTATACAGAACCACATAGACAAGATTCTCCATCAATCTGAAGAATGTTTTCACTATACAAAGGGCTCTTTGAGTGTTCATGGTTCCGCATAGAAACATTTTCTTTACTAAAGAACCCTTGAAGAACCTTCTTTTTAAGAGTGTATCAGATTATTTACTTTTGATCAGTTTGAACAGATATAAAAGAACCAGTAGTGCCACATTTAAGAACTAATATAAATAAAACTATGATTTTTATTACATCTTTCACTTACTGTGCTGCACTGAACCCAGTTAAACAGGCCTAGTTATGCTTTGAAACACGCAGTGTGCAGCAGTTCGGTACTCTTGAAGCACTGATGATATCCGCAATGTGCTCACAAAGGAGTACTGAGATGTAAAGTGATGTATTTTACCACAATTATGATAAACTTAGACATATTTCCTGCACCTACTCTCACTATTAAACAATTAAGGGGGAATTTCACTGATATTTCAAAACTTCTGCATTATATTTCAGTTGCAAAGATGTACACAAAGTCATTTAGTCATTCGGTTGTGATTTGATGTGAAGTGTTTTAGAGCAGGGAGGCCTAATCCCAGTCCTGGAGATCTATCATACTGGTAAATTCAGGTCCAACCCAACCGGGTCTATTCAGATGCCACTGAAAGCCTTTATTACCCGGATCAGGTGGATCAGATCAGGGTTGGAACCAAACTCTGCAGGATGGTGGATCTCAAGGACCTGGAATGGACACCCCTCTTCTATAGAAGCTTTCAGGGGTCACAGTGTCTGCAACGTAAATGTAGCCCTTCTATAATCCCTTATATATTTTATGGAAACGTCCATTTTGGTGTCCCTAGCGTTTACAGATAATAATACGCTTGAAAAACATGTTAGGGTTACAATTTATTTATATTTTAAAGTAAAATAATAAGTTATTTAAAAAATTACACCTTCTTGAGTCGTCAATTTAGCAATATTGGTTTTTCTATAGAATTTCACCACAGAAGAGCTCGTCCTCAAAGTCATGTGTAAAGGGTGCGGCCATGTTTTCAGGAAGAAAAAAATATTTTTCTGCTATTTTTTACTGCAATAATCTATACATGACTATGAAATATATGAATTAAATGACATAAACAAAACAAATCAATATTATAAAATATATAATGAAAGTTCCCCAGGAGTCGTGTCACTGGTGTTACCGCATAACAAAAACTCTTACTTTGACATAAAAATCACACGGATGACATCACTCGACTTCCTTTTACCTATTTTCTGAGGATCTATGAAGAAAAGCACATGGTGAGTCCACTGTGTCTTTCAGTTATCAGAGATTTTCTCATTTAGCTCATGATTTCATATGAAGCTTTTAGCCGACGTCACTGGTGTGACCGACTTTATTCTGAGGTCATTGTGAAAAAATAGAACACAAATGGATTAAATTTTATATTTTAGTGGATATTCCATGACTGACAACATGTGGTTTGATGCTCTGCGGCAGATATTTTGTAAAATGTATTTTTCATTAAAAATGTCTCTGGTGTTCCCTTTCTTATGTGTAACACCAGTGAGGGTTGGTAACACCAGTGACTCCTCTGGATAGACAGAAAAGTGGAGGTTTCTGTAGAATGACCCGTTTAACGATAATGGTAAAATAGAAGTAAATCTGAAAAAAAAGCTGGGTTCTGTTGTACCCGTCTGTACCCGTCTGCCTCTAATGCATTTTTAAAAATACATTTTAGGACAAATCCATCATTAAAAATGTCTCAGGTATCAGGCAGCATATTCACAAACCATTTTGTGTAATAACTTTTAGTGAGGGAGCTTCCAGAAGCATTAACCGCTTCTGACGTCTGGTTCCCATCACCACCACTGTGAGAATTCTAACTTGGAAAGCTTCTCTAGAACGGAGCGTTTCACTCCAAACCACTCTGAATGACTTTATTTACATCTGGACCATTTAATTATGCAGAAATGTTGAAAAATCAGCTGAATACTCTGTATTTGCAGTTTGTCTCCTAGAGATTGCTGGTGAGGTTCCGGCTGGGCAGAGTGAAAACATCAAATCTACTGACCCAATAACAATCAACATAACCCATTCATTACTGATACAACAGAAACGTTTAATAATGACATTTTTGGAACATTTACATCTGTGGAAAGGTTGACGTGGCCCTCTGTAACATTACACTAATAACCTTTATTTCCTAAAAACTAATGTACAGATGTGAGCAGCTTTACTTTACAACACATTTCAACTCATTATTACTACAGTATCATCAAAATGTATAACGTCTGTTTGGGTGGAAAGGACCAGTGAGACAGCAGCAGCAGCTACACTGTAAAATACTGTGCAATAACACTGGAATTTACCTACACAGTTAGCTATTCAGGATACAAATACAGACAGTGATTTACTGAACCCCTAAAGTGTCACTGTGGGGAAAAAAAACATTTGCGACATCAACTTTGTGTTCCCTTGCAACACTTTTGAGGTCATTGTGTTTGTGAGCGAACACAGAGTTACTGCTAATGAAGGCAAAATCATTGTGAGTGAAAGCTAAATATTTGCGAGAGAATGCAAAATCACTGTGATGGAACTCAAAATTATTGCAAGTAAACACAAAATCATTGCAAGTGAACGCAAAATCATTGCAAAAGAATGCAAAATTATTGCAAGTAAACACAAAATCATTGCAAGTGAACACAACCATTGCAAAAGAATGCAAAATAATTATGAAAGAATGCAAAACTATTGTGAGAGAATGCAAAATCACTGAAGGAACTCAATATGATTGCGAGAGAATGCAAAATTATAGCGAGTGAACGAAAATTCATTGTGAGAGGATGCAAAATAATTGTGAAGGAATGCAAAATTATTGCGAGAGAACACAAAATCATTGCGAATGAACACAAAATAATTTCGATTAAACACAATAGCACTGCGAGTGAAGGCAAAATCATTGAGCGAATGCAAAATCATTGCGAGAGGATGCAAAATCATTGTGAAGAAATGCAAAATTATTGCGAGAGAATGCAAAATCACTGCAGGTGAATGCAAAATAATTGCGAGGGAGCGCAAAGTTATTGCGAGGGAATGCAATGCCATTACTTTAAACCAGGGACCCTGAGGGGCTCCGTAGTGCTTAACCAAGTTATCAATGTACGATAAACAACAAACTCATAACTCATACGGAATAAGTTGCCTTAAAGGAGGGCAGTTCAGACCATTGCAACCCAGCAGCTCGGCTGACTCTCGAGGCAGCTTCACTGCTAGAAAACGCCAGAAAGAGCTAGAAACACTGCTAGCAAAGTTAGCCGAGGAGGGGGGCAACAGAGCTCGCGCTCAGAGAAGATGAGAACAAGCGATTATACGCCGCGCTGTCAATCGACATTTCTTTTCTCTCTCTCTCTCTCTTTCTCCGGCTAGTCAGCAGCCCCGTTGCCCGTTTCTGGAAGCCGCAGCCTCCCTCCCTCTCTCTCTCTCTCTCTCTCTCCCTCCCTCCTCGGCTGCCCGCTACAACAACCCCGCCGCCGCCATGATCGCTTTGTTTGCTACGGGCCGAGCCCGACCGCAGCCTCGGTCTTATCGGGGACGGTCTGCCTTCCCCCTCCACCCCGCTCCCAGGACACTCGTCTTCTCTTACCAATTACAGACTCCTTCCGTCACTCCCGAGCCCTCGGAGCTCCACTTTTTATTCAGGCCGACACGTAAGAGGCCGCGTCAGGCTACACCTCCGCCGCGTCACCGAGGACAACAACAAGCACGACCAGCTTCAGCAGCGCAGCCGAAGCGCTGACGGAACTTATCGAACGACGGGCGAAGATTGCCGAAGTGCACTCGGGTTTAGGCGGAGTACTACGAAAGTGTGAAGGGTGTGGATGAAGACGACTCGAACGTGGGTAGAGGAGCATTGAAGTTGGATGTGTGTTGTGCAGATGGATTACCTTTAAGTGTTGTTGCTTTAGTGAAATAAAGACTGAAGTGGAAGTAAATGTAGCCTAAATTATACTATACATTGTTTAACGTTTGTTTTGATATTTTCAATATAAAATAGCTGAAAGATGTGGATATGATGGTGACAGTAACCGTTATTTCTAAACAAATATATTATTTAAGTTTATGTTAATGTTGCATAGGTAATTTCTAGTCCCTTATAATCTCTATGCTGTGTCTGGATTAATAATACCGTTCAAATCAGATTAACCTCTGTATGTCCACACTTTAGTTCCTCACTCTCATAACTGCAGAACTTACACATTAAGTTCGTGGTAGGTGATGAATAATTCATAGTGGTTATTGAAGATTATATAATGGTTTCAGTATTATTCATAGTAGCTATTGAATAATTCATAGTAGTTAGTAAATAATTTGAAGTAGATACTGAATAATTAATAATGGCTACTGAATAATTAAAAGTAGATATCGAATAATTCATCATGGTTACTCAATTGTTTATTGTGGTTACTGAGAAACTATAGTACTAACTGAATAAGTCAGAGTAGATGCTGAATATTTTGTAGTCATTACTGAATAATTCATACCACCTACTAAATAATTCATAGTAGATACTGAATACTTTATAACAACAGAATAATTTTTAGTAATTACTGAATAATTCATACTGAGTAATTCATAGTGACCACTGATGAAGTCAGAGTAGATACTGAACAATTTGTAGTGGTTATTTAATAATTCACTGTAGATCTAGAATAATTCATAGTGGTTACTGAATAATTCATAGTAGTTTCTGAATAAATCATACTGAATAATTTATGGTAGTTACTGAATAATTCGTAGTAGTTTCTGAATAATTCATACTGAATAATTTATTGTAGTCACTGAATAATTCATAGTAACTTGAATAATTCATACTGAATAATTTATGGTAGTTACTGAATAATTCACAGTAGTTTCTGAATAATTCATACTGAATAATTTATGGTAGTTACTGAATAATTCGTAGTAGTTTCTGAATAATTCATACTGAATAATTTATTGTAGTCACTGAATATTTCATACTGGATAACTTATAGTAATAGTAACTTAACTTATTTAATAATTCACAGTAGATTTTGAATTATTCATAGTAGTTTCTGAACAATTTATTGTTAAGATTACTAACTGAATAATAAACCTAGGGCAGGTTTAAGCCTAGTCTCAGTCTAAGTCGCAGTGCTAATGGTGAATTGGGAATTCTTTTTAGCCTAGGATTAGGCTTAATCTTGGTCTGGGAATCTGGGAGTTCTGAGAGTTGATTATTGCACTTATAAATGCACATCATAGTTTAGAGGATATAAAATAGTGCATGTGTCTTCTTTTCAGATCATTTCTGCAAGGTTTTTAAGGCTGATCATTAGACTAGTTTGAATAAACGCAATAAGGGTTAACTTTCTACGTCCGCTTTGCCACGTCTGGGTAAAATCAGATGAATTTGTGTGTTTATAAAGGTATGTTATGATAGCACTTCTAAAGGCCTGATCCAGTTCAAGGCCATAAATACTACTTCTATGAAGACTTTGAGGGATAATTTACAGTCTGCGCTCTGTTTTAGCCGCCCAGTGTTTTGTAGTTGTGATTTTTTGAAGGTTATGTAAACCCATGATGCTGTTCTGTAAACAGTGGGGGGCAGTATTAACCCTCTCCTGGGGTTGGAGAGCTTGGCTGGTCTTCCGTCGTTCTGAGCTGCTGGATGGTTTTGGTCCTGAAGATGGCACCACATGCACGGCGTGTAGAAAGCGCTGAACTCGCTCACCTCCCTCTCTCTGAATGGATCCGGCTGTGGGAGTGTGAGATATATATATTTTTTTTCATGGCAATTCCTTTTATAATCCTCCAGATGCCAGTTTGGTGTGTTTTATCTGTTTAATAGCGCTTCACCGCTACAACCCATAAAACCTGCCTTTTATTGTGACACAGAGCACATTGTTTGGGGAATTGACCCCGTCCCGTTAATGAACAGCCTCGAATTTAGGCCTGCTGGGGGAAAGTGACAGATTCGTCCAATATGTGAAATTATCTTTACGACGGTGACGGCGTGGAGCGGAGCTGGAGGGGGAAACTCGGCCATGATACGACAAAATCGATACTAACTTTGGCTCTATTATCTCAAAACACACAACATCTACAGCCCTGCATGCAGACGCCTGCTGGTGCATGTAGTCACGGTTACGCAGTGAAGGCAGAAGCAGGTTTTATATTAAAAATATAAACATGTCGAGAGGAAAACTCAGATCTCATTTTACTCTCTGCACAAAAACACACTCTCTGTGTGGGACACAGTTTAGAGACTGACCTTGAAAAGGGAGCCGCGAATCATAGTTGGTCTTTGTTCTCTCTCTCTCTCTCTCTCTCTCTCTCACACACACACACACTCTCTCTCTCTCTCTCTCTCTCTCTCTCTCTCTCTCTCTCACACACACACACACACACACACTTCATCTCACTTTATCTCTCTCTCTTTCTCTGTCTCTCTCCTCAGATGCTCTTTTTCTTTTCTCTTTTTTCCCTTCATCTTTCTCTCTTTCTTCCTTTTCCCCCTATTCTATATTGTATCTCTCTCTCTCTCTCTCTCTCTCTCTCTTCTTTCCTCTTCATCCCTGGCTCTATTGCTTCTTCTCCCTCTCTCTCTCTCTCTCTCTCTCTCTCTCTCTAACTTCTTCTCTCTTTGTCACTCCCTCACTTTTTTCCCCTTCATCTCTTTCTCTCTTTCTTCTTCCCCTATTCTATCTCACTCTCTCTCTCTCCTTTCTCCTCTCTCTCTCTTTCTCTCTCCCTACCCATTTTATTTGCTTGTTTTTCTCTCTCTCTCTCTGTCCTTCACTTATCTCTCTTTAACTCTCTCTTTCTTTTTCCTTCTTCTTTTTCCCTCTATTCTCTCTGATTTTCTTCTTCTCTTCTCTCTCTTTATCTTTATCTCTTTTATCTCTTCTTTTCATCTTCTGTTTGTCTCTTTCTCGCTTTCTTTTTCTCTCCATTCTCTTTCGTTGTCACTCCCTCTCTCTTTTATTCTTTTTTCTCTCACGTCTTCCCCCTCCATCTCACTCTCTTGCTCTATCTCTCTTAATCAATCCTAATCTCTCTCTCTCTCACTTTTTTCCCTTCATCTCTTTCTCTTTCTCCCCATCTTCATTTGCTCATTTTCTCTCTCTCTCTTACTCACTCTGTCCTTCACTTCTTCTCTCTCTTTATCTCTCTCTGTTTTTCTTCGATTCATCTCTCTCTTTCTTTTTTCCTCCTTTCTCTCTCTCTCTTTCTCTTTGTATGTCTTTATCTCTCCCTGTTTCCCTCACATCTTTTTCCTTTTTCTTCTTTTTGCCTTTATTCTCTCTCACTTTCTCTCTCTCACTCTTTCTCCCCATCGTTCTGTCTTTCTTCTCCTCTACAGCTCTGACTCTCTTTATCTCTACCTCCTTTTTCTCTCCTTTTCTATCCTCCTTCTCTCTCTTTCTCTTGTTTCTCGTTTTCTTCTTTTTCCACTATTTTTTTTCATTGTCACTCGCTCTTTCTTTTCTTCTCCTTTTACATCGTCCCTCCTCCATCTCACTCCCTTGCACTCTCTATATTCATCCATTCCAATCTCTCTTTCTCTCTCTCCATCTTAATTTGCTCATTTTCTTTTTCTCTCTCTCTGTCCGTTTCTCTCTCTCACTCTTTCTCCTCATCTTTCTGTCTTTCTTCTCCTCTACAGCTCCGTCTCTCTTGGTCTTTGCTTCATCTTTTTCTTTATCTTCCCGCTCTGTCCTTTCTCTCTCCTCTCTTTTTTTATTTTTCTCTCCATTCTCTTTCATTGTCTCTCTCTTTTCTTCTTCTTTCTCTCACATCTCTCCATCTCACTTTCTCTCTCTCTCTCTCTCTCTCTCTCTCTCTCTCATTTTAGGGCACTTTTTCACTCCAGGTACGGGGGGTGGTGGGGGGTGGTAGTGAGTGGGTTGGGGTTGTGGGGGGGGGTTGTTGTGCGGTAAGGATACAGAAATCATAAAAACAGTGAAATATCAAAGCCTTTTCTGCGCTGTCAGGCCTGCAGGTCAGCTAAGGAAGTTCATGGCATGTTTCTCTCTTTTTTCCTGTGGAGGAGTAAAACCCGCCCAGCTCAGGTTAACGGAGAGCGCTCGGAGGCCTCGCCGCGCTTCAGCCGCGGAAACCACTAAAACTGAGGAGCGCACAGATTAGGAGCTCCTAATAAATCATTGACGCCCGAGTTTTGCATGGGATGAACATTTACAAGTAACCTCTGTGATCATCCCTAAAATCCTATTTGCATCTTATTAATTTTTCTTTATGATATCCGGGGCATTATGGCGGTGAAACCTCCGAAGTGTGGGGGTGTGTTGGAAGGGGGGCGCGTATTTCTAGTCCTGCCGTGATTCCCATTCACTTACTTATTCAGCCGAGAAGCTGAAGGATGGCGAAGTCTGGGAGTTTTCCCACTGGAGTCACGTCCCAGACTGTAGTGAGCTAACAAACACATGAAAAAACAGACAGGCGACGCAGGAGCTTCACTCCAGAGCGCCGGGCCTGTATTATTATTACACTTCACAACTCAGCGACACAGCAGAGAGGAGTGAATATGGACTGATACCTCAGACTGTTTAAGGTTAAACATCTGGTTTTATCACAGTGTCATCTTCTACATGGCATTGTGGGTCTAAATCAGGCTGGAATGTGATCTGCTTGCTAAAACTTTGGCTAGATTTGACTGTTTAGTCAAAATTAGCTGTCGCACTAGCTAACTTGCCATCTAAACTGCATGCTAGTCAACCATTACAAGCTGTTTTGCTTCTTTCTATAAAACTTCGGCCTCTTTTTCACTGCAGGGCTGATTGGTTCTGAGCACGGAGGGTGACCATTCCGGTGGCATTTCCACATGGACATAGTGGCTCAAAAACCAGGCCCAGCACACTTTATTCCAACACTAGTTAGCTACCACGTTCAGGGCACAGAGCCATTCAATGGG